GATGACTTTTTGACACTTGTTAATCAAGTAGAAGCTTGACCTCTAATTAAATTTGTGGCCAAAATACTTAATCACGTCACTATATACAAAATTGGTTGATAGTGTTAGGGATTTTAGTACCGTAGGATAGTGATGCAAACTGACAATTTTGATTTTGGGGCGAAAAATTGACCGATTTCACTAAATCATTTTTAAGTCCTAATCAATGGTATGATGTTGGATATGTTTAGTAATGTAGATAGTAATAGTAATTTGATCGAGTTATATAGTTTGATTTTGATACTTGGTTGTTTTTAATTCATGCAGTTGTTATAGAGATTTTGGCTTTAAAACGTGTGTACATATTACCTCTTTCATTTAAATTGTTATAGTAGGAAAAAATTTCTATACTTATAAGATGTCATACGGACAAGAGAAAGAAAGGAAGGGAAGCAATTAGTCTAATGTATAATGAATGAGTTTATACTTTCTTTCTTTTAATTTCTATTCCTAGAAATTATAGCTTTCTGTACGTCTAGCTAGCACATGCGCTAATTATAAATCCAATATACCTATTCCTTTAATATATAAAAAGATAATTTCGAAATTTTAGTTGCTTTGGATTAAAGATGGTGGTGATCTGAGGCTACTATAATGGGACGCAGACCCCATTGATATCCTATATCAACCAAATTTTGTTGATATAATGGCAATATAGTAATAAGTTGGAACGATATCAATTTGGATTTTCTCCTATAATGATGATTGTTGAATACTGAATAGGATGTGTTTGTCATGGTTCATGGGTAGGCGAGCGGCATTTTTGTGGACAAGTAGAATGTTCATGGTGAACTTGGTAAGCTTTCATGTATGTATATATGGTATAATAATCAGTTAGGTCTTCTCCAAATATTGAGTATGTGGAAACAATATCTATATCACTAGCTCAACATACAAACCTAACAGCATTGCAAACCTAGCCCCCTTGAAACTTTGCATGCCCTCACCACTATACGTCTATACTATTACAACCACCAAGAAATTGCCACCAATCCCCATAGATAAAAACTTTGGTTATTCACCCCCTTATATTCCCTCTTTTGTATCTTCAATTGACAATTCAGTTATTTCAATTATCCATCTTGTCCAAAACCCTAATTTCGTTATTGAATATTGTAATTTATTTTTTTTATTCCTACAATTAATTATTACTGGCATAATTGATTGTGATTCACCATTTGTTGTCTTGCAATTATTATTGAAATTTGACATATAATAATGAAATAAAATTTTCAAATATAACCATAATAAACGCCCTACCGCACTATTTATCTCCTCATATCGGCATCCTCATCTCCTCCTCTTCAATTCAACCCAAACTTACTTAATGATATTTATCAATAAACCTATTAACTATCCGACCAAAATATGAGTTAAACCCTAATTTGTTCATTGTAAGACTTCTTTAAACCCGACTTGACACAACCTAAACCTGAAGAGAAACTCCACTTGAATTTGACTCAAACCAAACCTTAGATCAATAGCAAACGAAGGGGTGAACGACCTAATATAACTTGAACAAAACTTGACTCGAACCCTAATATGAATTGAACTTGACCTAGAGGCTACAAACCCAATTATGACTCGAGACCTAATATAAGCCAAATTGAATCCGCCCCAAATATCCAAATTAATTGCTATGCTTTTAAAAAAAAAATCATCTATGATCCTAGTAAGTTAAAATCAAAATTAATAATAAAAATATTTTATGTAGTGGGTAGTGAATAACAGTTTTTTTTCACTTTCATACGAGTTGACTAAATTAAATTATCATTTTTTTTATGCATTAAGATACGAGGGTGCCCCTCTTATCACAAAAGGGGTGAGGATCGAACCCTGGTTGCACCGGAGGGAGATGGAACCACTAGCCATCCTTCCACTCCTTGATCCCCCATTAACATAATAAGTAGACTAGTACTCATAGAGTTAAGGGCCTGTTCGCATTGACTGAACTCAGCTAAACTGAACTGAACTGAACTGAATTGAAATGAATATTTTATAAGAGAAGGAAATTAGGAGCTGAACTGAATTGAATTTCAATGTAAGAGAACAGGCCCTTAGTAGAATATGGTAAATTTATCATATTCTTAGGTGCGTATGGAGATGCAGGGTGAGTTGTACATGAGAGTTATATCATGCACTTTCAAGGAAGGAATAAAGACTTTTACTTTTTGATTGCTAAATAAATACTCTTCACTTAAAGAAAAAAAAATAGTAATATAACAAGTGAGGTGAAATAGTAGCTAGAAAGCCACCTTCCAATTTCCAAACTTGAGAATCATTTCGTAGCCATTTGGAGATATGTTTTACCTCAACATGATCATGTAGTTTTGCTTTTAGCTATAAAGAAAGTGATGTCTTTCCTTTTTGCCTATTTTTTTTAACTTTTCAACAGGATTGGCCAAAACTAATTAAAGAATAAAAGTACGACTATTAATAACTAATTTCATGTGAAATTGAAGGATTAGATTGGCTAATATAATCATAATCAATATTAACAGTGGATTATGTTGTATTTTATATGATGAATGTCTACAATAAAATGTCTTTCACTTTAAAAATTAGTACACACGACTTAATAAATATTTCATATTTATATCAATATATACAAGAATTTTAATAAATAATAACAAGAACTTATTATCTCAATGTCTAATGACTTTTATGATTCCCCTCAAAAAAAAAAAGACTTTTATTTATTTGCATTCTTTGTTTTTACTATATCTCCCTTACTTGTGAGAGGTATTCTGTAATTTTTAGTTACATCCACCTCTACTTATGTTGAAGAATAAAGCTCTCAAGTGTCACCACATGTAAGTGTCCCACATTGGTTGAAGAAGAGAGAATTAAACACTTTATAAGGCTAAGGGGCTACTCCTCCTATTGTCATATGGTTTTAGGATGGAACCTCTTTGGACTTGTGAAGTGGACTTTCACCTCTTAGTTTGCGGGTGTGGCCCAGACCCGCGTTTAACATGGTATCAGAGCCAGACCCACGATATGGGACCTCTAATGGTTTGAGTATATTGTTAGGCCCAAAGTTTGGGACATTTAATGACATTAAGTATTTTGGCCAAATTGAATTGGATCAAGTTATCCTTGAGTTAAAAGGAACTTACATGTGAGGGGGAATGTTGAAGAATAAACCTCTTAAGTGTCACCACATGTAAGTGTCCCACATTAGTTGAAGAAGAGAGAATTAAACACGGCTAAACGACTACTCCTCCTATTGTCTTATGGTTTTGGGATAGAATATCCTTGAACTTGTGAAATGGACTCTCTCTCTTGATTTGCGGGTGTGGCCCAGACCCGCGTTTAATTTACTCGATCTTTATATTTTAGGTAACACACATAGTTTGTGTACTCACTACTTATACTTGCTCACTTTTTTTTTAATTGAATTATTTAATATGTATTTTTAATAATAATAAGACAAAGATTTATGTCGAGTAGGAAAAAAAAACAAATTATACATAAACATATATGCTAATATGACAAAAGTCAACCATTTTAATAAAACACATCGAAAAAAAAGACTATTCATACAATTACAACAACAATATCATATAAATAACAATAATCTCACTATAAATACAACCATATTGTATATACTATATACACAAATATACATAAATCCAATAACATATGAAAATGATAGATGAATAGAAAAAGAAAGAGAATGGACGGTGATGATTAAGCAAGAGCAGAAGATCTGACGGAAGAAACAGCCGCAAAGGTTAAGGTTAAAGGAAAAACCGAAAACACAATGAGCTGGAGTGACGGTGGTCCAAAATGTAACAATTTGAGTACAGCTCACGGTCACCCCCCGCCCTTCTCGATTGCTGTTGCTTCTACCACAAGCGCCTGGGATTCTTCTGCCAATTCCATAATCCTTTAGGGGTATTTTCGTCTTTTTACTTCCTAAATCATTTACTCAACAATTAGGCGTGCCCTTCCCATTATTTAATGCCAACCCATTACATATATCTTAAATTTATGTCACATTTTATATTTCATTATTGTTATTATTATTCTCATTGCATTTATATTTGTTTATTTGGTTTCAGAAGAATTTACTGAAGTGATTTATAGTTAAGGTGATTTCAACCAGGTTTTGCCTTTGAAAATTGTCATTTTTTTGTCCTTATTCACATTTACTCTTTACACTAGCTACTTCTTCACCACAAAATATATTTTTTTGAATTTATTTTTTGTGCTTTGATTGATAGTAAGAAAATTATTAATTAAAAAACAATATAGTATGTGTATCTAAAGAAAATAATTTGTCCAATTTTTGTACTTTCAAGGGACCATAAAATCATAAATGAAGGCTATTAGCATAATTTTGTTATCAAGACAATTCATTAAGCTCTTAATAAATCAAGCACAACTTCAATTTCTTTCTCACCGCTAATAATGCGTAACACCCTAAATCCTTTTTTTAATACTCAAATAGTCAAATTAATTAATCTATTATTAAAATTAATTATGGTCTTGTTCGACAAAATATAGCTACGAGAATATACTAAAATACAAACCCTATGATCACTTCACTATACTGTATATACAAACCTTATGGAGTGGAGTAATAATGTGTATAAAAATGAAAGTTTAATTTTCCCAAATAGTTTAAAAAGTTTGTACTAGTACTATTTTGGAGCCTTTTAAGTGACACCTAAACACACAACTATTTCTTCTTTCATTTTCTCTCTCCTCTTTTTCACTCTCTTTTCTTTCTTTTTCATTCATTTTCTCTCTCCACCATCTCCAACTCTTTTTCCTCCACTCCATCACCACCTCCCTCCCTCCCATCTTCTCTCTCCTGTAAAATAAAAAAATAAAAACCCAAAAACAATTCTGCTAAAAAAAAGTTGAGCTATTTATCAATTTCATTTTTAAAGCTACTCAAATTTCCAGATCTTCTTCATATTCTTCTTCAACCTCTTTATAATCTGGTAAGTTACATTTTTAGTGCTCAATTGCTTGTCAAAATGATTCAACATTGCTACTTTCACTTGCGTAATCGGAGTGGATTTTGATTGTTATTTTTGGAAAATGTAGTTTAAATTATTGATCAGTAGCCAATATTTTTGAAATTGGATCGTTGTTTTTATTTTGAATTTCGATTTTTTTGTTTGTTGATTTCAAGTTGATAATGTTGTGCTACTTAATTTAAATTTCGATAGTATCGAGTTTTTGAATCCGGATGTGTTTTTTTTTACTTTTAGTAATTTCCTAATCCTCGAAGTTTTGAACAAATTTTAATTAATTTGTTTCCAATTTTGCTTAATCAGGAATTTTACGCCATCACTAGAAGGCTAATTTCAATTATTTAAAAATATTTGTTAATTTTTTTTCCTGAGGTCTAATTAAATAATGCAAGTATTTTTAATGGAGTAGGAACTAGAACTTAACTTTGATTGGATGTATTGGAAGTTTCGAGGCAACTCTTTTGAGTCTTTTCATAGATCTTTAATATTTAGCTGGATTTTTTTTTTCTTCATAATCTACTGTAAATTTAAAACAATTGTTTTAATTTTTTTATTTAGTAAATTTAATACTCAGAGCCGTACTCAATGTTTAATAATCTTTCTTTAATACTCCTTCCGTCTCATAATATAGTGTCGTTTCTCATTTTACTAGTCGGCAAATGATTCGCTGCTTCTATTTTAACCCAAGAGAGAATTATAAAATAATTGCATTTGAAACATAAATTTGGTATTCCTATGAACGAGTTTTACCGTGTTTGAATGCATTATGAACAGGGTGTTACTCTGTTTGGATGCTACTGAATTAACCGAGGAAAGATTAAATTAAAAAAAAAAAAAAAAAAAAAAAAGATAAGAATAGAATCCACCATCATATTCTTTAAATTTAATGCCCTTGAATGTTTTTGTCGTTTTTGGTCCCCCAAAAATTATAATTTCGGTTGTTTATTTAATTTTATTTATTTAATTTTCATCTGAACTCATAATAAATCGTAACAAGAAAAATAAAAAGGAGAGAAAAAAAATAGGAAAAGAGCATAAAATGTGGATGACTTTATAATAATAACTCTTGAACAGTTTATATTTGATTTTTGTGCTTTAAATTCCCAAGCATCCGCCTTAAATTTTGTTATTGTTTCTGTTTGTTTGTGATGATATAAAGGAAGCATGCTTGTAGTTGTTACCACTGCTACTAGTATGGTAGTTGAGTTCTCTTTTGCTACTTTACTCAAATAGTGTAGTTCCTAAAAAAGAAAGCAAAAGAGGTCCTAAATTGAAAAAAAAAAAAAAAAAAAAAAAAAAAAAAGACCGACGCTATTCCCGTCTCTTAAAGTTTTTCCTATTTTGATGCGATTATTTGTTGCGAAACAATCACCGTCGAAAAGTTGTGAGATGCTGAAGTGGAAATTCTTTTTTGGGTTTATTTTGATTTGGGTGGTATGACATGAGCTACAGTGTTGATATTAGTTGCTCAGTCCTTGAAAGGGTAGAGATACCTTACCTTACTTCCACATTTTTGGGCCCTTTTGTTTTTTCTGCTTTGTAAGGATTTTGCTTTTTTAACTGCACCTTTATTTTATTTAGTTCAGTGAATTTAGGTGGTTGATCTATCGTTGATGTGCCTGTCTTTTAGTGCATTCCTAGCAATGTATTAGATTGGATGTTCTTATGCTGTATAGTCTGTGTTCTTACCGCGATGAATGCTTATATAGTTGATCTTGTTAAGGAAGGTTTGCTTTCAACGAATACTCGAGTGAACTGCGTGTTTGCTTTTGTTGAAATCATACGCCAACTTTGGAGATAAGAGGGTTTTTACATAGTACTTGCTCTATACTTGATTGAACTATTGGCAATATTGCATGCCCTTTGTGATTTCTGATAGTCTGTGATGAGTTTGTTTTAGTTGCTTCGCTTATTGCTGACTTGTCTTGTATGGTGAAATGCAGTCTAGGATGGACCGTCGGGGTTGGCCATGGAAGAAAAAGTCATCCGAGAAGTCAGCTGCAGAGAAGGTCATTGCTACTCTTGATTCTGCAGGTGCCGCTTTGCCTTCTGGTGGATCTCAGCCAGACAAGGTTGGTTCTTTAAAAGCTTTCTTGTATGAATGTGCTGTGGGGTTTTATATAATTTTAAATATACAAATCTTAATTATCTGTTCTATTCATCTATCTATATTATGCAGACCAGATGCCTCTTCTCTATATGTTCAGAATGCCTACTCTGTTATTAATTTCTATGTTAAGATTTCCAGAGTAGTTTTCTCAGAATATGATATGTTTAATGAATGTTTCCATTGTTATCTCTGGCAGCTTGCACTAATATTTTCAAGCACCTTATATTTCTTTTTTGTAATGAAAATTTTTGATCATTTTTTAGGTTTTGCAGTAGTAGATAAGCAACAGAGTTTATGATATTGATTTAGAAAATTTTCTTATTCATTCATTGTAATTTATTTCCACGTTTATCATCTCAGGGACAGGAGAAACATGATAAACACAAGAAGGCGAATTATGTTCAAATTTCCATAGAATCGTACACTCATTTGAGTGGACTGGAAAATCAAGTGAAGACTTACGAAGAACAAGTAAAAGCATATGAAGAGCAAGTAAAAGCATATGAAGAGCAAGCACAAACATATGAAGATCAGGTCAAAACATTGGAGGAAGAAGTCAATGAACTAAATGAGAAGGTCTCATCTGCTAATTCGGAGATAACCACCAAGGAAGAACTTGTCAAACAACATGCAAAGGTGGCTGAGGAAGCAGTTTCAGGTATGGAATTTTTTTCTAAAGAACTTTTTGCTGCAAAGCCTAGGTTTGTAAGAAATGACTACTTATGGCAGAGTTTACATTCATAACTATATGAGTTTCTCAAATAAGATACTTTTTCAGTGTAAGCTTGTCAAGTCCACATCCTTACTGGCGTGGCTTTCCTGCAGGTTGGGAGAAGGCTGAAGCAGAAGCTTTGTCTTTGAAAAATCATCTTGAGTCTGTGACTCTGGAAAAATTAACGGCTGAAGACAGGGCTGCTCACTTGGATGGTGCTCTTAAAGAATGCATGAGGCAGATAAGAAATTTGAAGGAAGAGAATGAACAAAAGCTCCAAGAACTTGGGATAACAAAGAACAAGCAGTATGATAGAATGAAGCATGAGCTAGAAGCAAAGATTGCTAGCATGGATCAAGAGCTCATGAGAGCAGAAGCTGAGAGCAATGCTCTTTCCAGGTCATTGCAGGAGCGTTCTAACATGCTTATGAAAGTTAATGAAGAAAAGTCAAAGGCTGAGGCAGAGATTGAGCACTTGAAAAGCAATGTTGAATCCTGTGAAAGGGAGATAAATTCCTTAAAATATGAACTCCATATTGTTTCTAAGGAGCTAGAAATCCGTAATGAGGAAAGGAATATGAGTGTCAAGTCTGCAGATGCAGCCAACAAGCAGCAATTGGAAAGTGTGAAGAAAATTACAAAGTTAGAAGCAGAGTGTCAAAGGTTACGTGGTCTTGTAAGGAAGAAGCTGCCAGGACCTGCTGCTTTGGCCCAAATGAAGCTGGAAGTGGAAAGCCTGGGTAGAGACCATGGAGAAAGTCGTCTGAGAAGGTCTCCTGCCAGACCTGCCAGCCCCCAGTATTCATCAAATTCCCACATGTCACCAGTGCCTGAATATTCCCTTGATGGTTCGCAGAAATTCCAGAAGGAGAATGAGTATCTCACCGAGCGCCTTTTGGCTATGGAAGAAGAAACAAAGATGCTTAAGGAGGCATTGGCAAAACGTAACAGTGAATTGCAAACTTCTAGGAGCATTTGTGCCAAGACTGCTAGTAAACTTCAAAATCTGGAAGCACAAGTACAAATATTCAATCAACAAAAGGGCTTTGTAAAACCTGATACTCAAGTTCAAGCTGATCGGTCTTCTAGTCAGCATGTTAGCAATTCTCCAAGTATGATGTCCTTTTCTGAAGATGGAAATGATGATACAATAAGTTGTGCTGAGTCATGGGCTTCTGCGCTAATCTCAGAGCTATCTCATATTAAGGATAACAGCAAGGAAAAGTCTATGAAAACTGAAAATGGGAAGCATTTGGAGCTTATGGATGACTTTGAGGAAATGGAGAAACTGGCTCTATTATCTGATGACTCGAATTGCTCCATATCTATTACTAACAGCCCAGCCAATAAATCTGTAACTTCAAACAGTGTCGTCGCTGATGTAAATGGTACAAATGCCCCATCCAAAGCAGTGCCTGGATCAAATTCTGTGGCTAGTCCTGCTTTAGGAGATTTGGCATCAGGTTCCAAAGTTGAGACAGAATCATTGCCATTGGTGAGCTTGCAATCAAGAATATCGAAGGTTTTTGAATCTGTCTCCAATGATTCTGATGTTGTGAAAGTTCTGGAGGACATTAAGCATGCTGTACAAGAGGTGCATGAGACCCTTAATCCACACTCAATTAATTGTGTCTTTGAGGAGAAACATTGCTCAGAAGGTGCTACCGATCAGCAAGTTGTACCAGGGGATGCTGTGGCTACTACAGAAAAGGAAATTGATTTGTCTGAAAATGGTAGGCAAAATGGCCAGATTAAGAAGATTAGTGAAGAATTAGCAGCCGCCATCTCTCAGATTCACAATTTTGTATTATTCCTGGAGAAGGAATCTAGAGCAGTCAATGGTCTGTGTGACGATAATGATGCATTAGGGCTTAAAGTTGAGCAGTTCTCTGCCTCCTTTAACAGTGTAATGTGCAATGAAATTAGCCTGGATGATTTTGTTTTCTCCCTTTCTGATTTCATGGCTAAAGCTAGTGAGCTTAACTTTAGTGTCCTGGGATACAAGGGCAACGAAACGGAAGTCAACAGTCCAGATTGTATAGACAAAATTGCATTGCCTGAAAATAAGCCACCCCAAGGAGAAAGTTATTCTAATGGTTGTAGCCTATCTGATTCTTCTTCAAATCCTGAGGTTCCTCAGGATGCCAATGTTATGTCAGGCTTCGAGCCACAAACATGTAAATTCTCAGTAGAGGAATTTGAACAGCTAAAAGCGGAGAAAGACAATTTGGAGAGGGAATATTCCCAATGCTCTCAAGATCTGGAGACAACTAAATCTCAGTTGCTGGAAATGGAACAACAACTAGCCGGAGTTAATTCAGAGCTGGCTTCTTCCCAGAACATGAACAGCTTGGCTGAGACTCAGCTGAAGTGCATGGCAGAATCGTACAAGATGCTTGAAAAACGTGCTGAAGAATTGCAGAGTGAAGTCAGTATCCTGAAATCAAAATTGGAATCTCTGGATAATGAACTTGAGGCTGAAAAAGTGAGTCACCAAGATGCTTTAGTCAGATGCAAAGATCTTGAAGAACAATTACAAAGGTTAGTTTGACAATTATGTTACCTTTTGGCAATTTTCAAGGTAATTACAGTAGTTACAAATATTGCTCATGTAAATCAAAATGCTAACTCTATTTCCACTTTTCAATTTTAACTATTATTTTTTAGATGAAGATATAGTTGATAGTTTTCATAAGATGTTATACATTACTAACTTCCGGGTGTGGTGTTTTTATAGGAATGAAGGATGTTCTGTGTGTTCGTCCTCAGCTGCTGATGCAGATGACAGAAGCAAACAGGTATGAAGCTGATAAGAGAAACTATTTCTTGTTGCAGACACTACTATTGTAAATTTATGAGCATAAGTCAGAACAAAGAGTAGTAATTTCCTTTTTCGTAGACTTGAGGTATCATTCCACAATCATAATATTGTCTTCCAAGATCAATTTTGGGCTCCTTTCCTTGTCTCTTATTACTTCCTAATTTCCTATTGTTAACACACAAACCTCATTTGCTTAAATGGTTAAACCAAAATATTTTTTCATGAAATGAACATCAAACATAAGCATCTGGGATGAGTTAAGCACGCCTAACACCGAAAGTTATTATGTGATTTTCGTTCATCCTGTTGTTTCAGAAGGCTTACACTGAATTCTTCCATTTCAAAATTGTACAGGAAAAGGACCTGGCAGCTGCAGCAGAGAAGCTAGCAGAGTGTCAAGAAACCATATTCCTTCTTGGTAAGCAGCTAAAAACCTTACACCCTCAGTCAGAATTCATGGGTTCACCCATAAGTGAGAGGAGTCATAGAGATGAAGGCTTTAATGAAGAAGAACCAACAACGAGCGGGATGAACCTGCAAGATCTGGATCACGTTGAGATGGATACTGCCACTTCCAATAATCTGCAAAGGCTAGGTTCTAGTTCACCTTCAGACCTCTACAATGCACCAATTAGTACATCAGACACTGAAGGAAATAGCTTGAAATCGCCTGTATCGAAAAATGCCAGGCACCGGCCTACAAAGTCCGGATCTTCTACTTCTTCCACTCCAACCCCTGAGAAGCAGTCACGTGGCTTTAGCAGATTCTTTTCATCAAAGGGGAAAATAGGCATTTAATTATTGAGCGTGCTGACATAAGGAAGAGTTATGACGGGACAAAAACCACCCTTGACCATAAAAATTTGGTTGTTGCCCAGGTTGTTATGCTGTCTTACTCATTATAGTTACCTTGGATTTTGTGAAGAAATACTGAGGTTAGCATGTTGAGTTCTTTGAAGTCGTAGTGACTGTCAAAGGTCAAATTCTTACTAGGTTCCCCTGATGTCAAATAGAGTTTAGAAAAACATACAGAGTACTTGTGAAGATCAGCTGGTTAGTTCTCGGTTTACTTTTGATGATCATATTGATGTTAAATTTTGTATGAAATATGGATGTATATGATGTTAACACCCTTCAAAAATTTCAGTGTTGATCGTATTATGTATTCCCTTCCTTCCCGAATAAAAGTCTAACCCGTTGTAGTGAGTTGTTGGTAAAGTTTCAAACTCTTGAAACTGTTAAAAAGTTGTATTGAGGTGTTTGTCGTCGTGTTTTTGTATGTTAACTTTGTGCATATAAATACAGATGGAATTTTCAAGTATTAATGCTAACGGTTGTGGTTCTCTTCTTGTTAGGTGGCTGCCATCATTTCACTGTACAAGGGGTAATTTTGAATTTTCCGATCATTAAACAATGACTACTTTTCATATAGTAGTATCATATAATAAGAACAAAGTTCAATATTAAGAAGGTTGAACATGAACTGTCAATACATAAGAACAAAGTTCAATATTAAGAAGGTTGAACATGAACTGTCAATACATCTTTACAAGCTACAGCATGTTCTGTAGCCTGTAGGTTTCAACAATGACAGGCAAGAAAATGTTCTATAATATAATTCTTTTTTATTTTTGACGATAGAAATGAGACTCTAATAAATGGATGGAGGGAGTATTATTATAGCAAAAATGGACATTTGTTCTTTCTCTGTTTTACCATACATGCACCATAGATTTTTACACTACCAACCAAAAAAATATGGTCATTAATAATAAAACATTAAAGTTCTGAAAAAAATATATACTGAGATCAACCCAACAATTAAAGTAAAGACATTTTTACATGTTACAAATAAAACGTAGTTAGAGTTAATACATAACTATCTTTCTGGGTATTTTTCCCCAAAACAAATTGTATTTTACTAGTAATTAGCATTTTAACTACTGTAGATGTTTATATGATTCAGTTATTTTTTGTTCTTGTTGGAAACTTGGAGGGTTTGATGCTTCTTTGCGTAATTACAATTTTGATTGAGATGCCTACAGGCCACATACTTAAACTACACAATGTATGAGAAAAAAATAGTGAAAATATAGTCACACCCTGGTTTATGTCAAATCTTGAACTTTTACTTGTCAAATTTTAACTTACAGAACTTCAGATTGCTGTATCTAAATCAATATTTAATGAAATTTATATTCAAAAGTCGAAGAGGAGAGCACCTTGGTCCTTAGATCAATATCTAACAATGAGAACAGACAAAAGAGGCGATAAACACATGGTAATTTACACTTCAGAAAAACAAAAGGCAACCAATAACATAAAACTACTATTAACAAAAAATGATAATACACAAGCGTCTGAAAGTGATGGCAGCTATGCTAAAAACATACAGCTCTTTCACTTCAGGTCTGGCTTTTAAATAGAAATTAAAGAAAATGGTTGTAGACAAGTGTGAGGAGTCTAGAATATACATCACTCATGTACAACCGCTTAACTAAAAATCAGGCTGTTCTGTTTTTAAGGGTGCTGCAGATGAGGTAGTGGCACCGTTTCCATTCTGAATGTAGAGACTGTTTGACACAAGAGAGTCGCTTACCAGGCCAACATCAGTATCAAAATTCAGTGCGCCCCTAACATTCCTGGGAAGATAAGAGGTGCACAATCAGCATCATCGCATATAGCATAAGTCTTACTTAAGTCAGTGAATCAAATCTATACCTATTCAAACGATCATTTATGGCAGTCAGATCTTTGGAAGGGCTTTGAAAAGCATGAGTGCTTTCCCCCACACAAGCATAGTAGCTCTTTGAGCCGTTTGAAATTAGAGCGTCCATCTACAGTGGAAATTGTGAAAATCAGATACGTGAGAGTCAGTGTTTAGTGAACTAATACTATTTGGTAATGTCAAAGACGGCTCAGAAATTTATGTTGGACAAGATACAGCTGTGAATCTTGGTTAGCAGAACCTTGCAAAAGGATATAACTGAAACTGTAATAGATTCAGATTCCAGAGTACAGATTTTATGTTAAAGCCCGCTAGAGAAATCTCGACCTATATCCATGGAATACACCTATAAAGAGAAGAAATTTTCCCTGGCTATTTATATACTTGGTCTTCCAGGATGACTCAATTTAAACAAAAGATTAACTTAATATAAATTTTTGTATGAGAACTAATGATACCTTGGATGAGCGCAATGGGGAGACATAGACATTCTTTGACACTTTCTTTGGAGACATGTCAGGAAGACTTGGGAATGTAGATAACTTTGGTGATCCAGGGCATTGACCTAATTAACAAGTAAAAAATGAAGCTAAGCCTTGCTAACAATGAAAGTTTCATAATGTTTTCTTCTTTTCATTTTCTATATAAGCAAAAACAAAATACTCATCACAATGCATACCATCTTTGTCGTTATTACTTTCGGGAATTAAATCAGTTCTCGTGCATGCAGCATGAGGGCTAAGCTCAACGAGAAGAGGCTTCACAGAAGGTATAAAGACCTTGTTGTAAAATGTTATGATGTCAACATGATCCTGCCCTTGTCTCTGTTAGAAGATCAAGCGAAAGCTCAGATTTTAGCCACCTTACCAATGATGTTAAAAACACTTGTTAGCTACAGTACTACTTCAGTTAAGCAGCTTTCACTGAACTTACATTTCTGCGTGAAGAAGACCAGTCAACAAATACACTGCGAAAAACATGGGGTTTACACTGAGGCTGCTTGCGGTAGTTTAAAATAATCTCCTTGAATGTAAGGTCATATTGAGAAATCTGAAAACAAGCAAAGTTATTCAAAATGTTCAAGAAGCATGATGTGAGAGCCAAGTTAAGCCCCATTATATTATTGAGATTTTGTTTTAGTTAAGTTAAAATATACAGACCTTTGCAACTCCATACACAGAACACAGGATTATTTGGTCAATGTGGCGATTGAAAAAAAGTGAGGTCCGCTGATTAAGAATTTTCTGGAACAGACAGTATACACTCTCCCTCATTTGTTGAGTCTCAGATTGCTTGTCAGGCTTTTCTAGCCTTTCAATTATACCATTTATTCTGACAGCGGCCAACTTTGCAATCTGATACAAGAATGCAAAATATCTAAGTTACAATTCCAACAGAAGGTCCAATTATTCAAACCAAGCAACAATTTTATATATAGTAATACTTTTGCTTTAATTACTTGCAACACTTTCCATTTCATGCTTGCCAATGCACTATTTCAATCACCAATATTGTTAATTACTGGTACGTAAAAAATTATGAAATTTGATAATATGAAAGTGTAAATCAAGACTAATCTAATAAGATCCCATATGACTTTTTTTCCTTATTTAAAAGTCATCAATGCTAGTGTTTTTTGGGGAAGTGTATGAGTATATGAATAGGGTAAAAGTCAAAGTGGAGTATATGAATAGTGTAAAAGTCAAAGTGGAGTACGTAAATAGTGTATAAGTAAAAGTAAAGTATATGAATATTGTAAAAGAGAATAAAAAGTGGACGTATTTTTTTAGGGAAGGGAGAGGGGTCGAGAAAAAGGCCAGAGAGTAAATATGTGAAATTCGAATACAAGATAATCGAGTGGCATTTAGTAAGAGGTGCCAAATCAGGCAGGTAAAACTAGGTCAAGATACTCAACAGAGTGAAAATGACCAAGAACACTCAGTTTGCTGTTAAAATGCAACAGCATCTCATACCTTACTGAAGAATATATTGATCCCAGTCTCTGCACAAGTTTCTCCTCCACCACCAGGACTCAGCCTTGTTGGACTGAAAAAAAAAACCAGAACCCAAAGTACAAATAAATCTTCCAAATCATAGTGACGAAAGATGCCTTTTCCAAAACACTATATAATACGTAAATAAGTATGAATTTACAGGTCCTTCCAACTAACTTAATAGTTTACATTTTACAGTACCTTGCAAAAGCAGACTGCAAAGCTGGAGGAGTAAGCTTCTGCTTGAGGTTGTTTATCAAACGATCCTTCACAGGTGATGTAAAAGAGCTGCGCTCTACAAGAATGCTACGATACTCTGTGCAAGCTCTTTTTGGAGACCTAATATCTCCATTTGTTGCTACAATTGACAGCACGGAGATAATATAGTCAGAAAATTTGTAATTTACACTGCAATAACATACTTGTCACAAATCTAAAACAAGTAGCAACAGCCAACAGGTGAAAGTTTGACCATAGATGTCTACTTATGATACGATACTATCTCACTCCCTTGTCTAAACAATGCAATCTATAGGCAGGAGACTAGGAGAGCAGAGAGTCAAAATATGCTAATTTTAACAAAATGTATGCAGGGAAGCAGGAAACATAAGAATCCCGAAACCTGCATAGTCCTCATGCTAAATTTTCTAGAACCCTCCTCTCCATTGTTGCATAACCTAAAAGTTAAACAAATTGTTATAAGCTTGCACCAAACTGATTCGGTCGTGAAAACTACATAATCAAAACCCAAGTCACAAAACCCCATATGTAAACAGCTCAAACAGTCCGAATTCACATTATGTATTTTATCAATTATTTGAAGATAAAAACAGAATAGAATTTTATTTTGTGGGGGAAGAAAAATAAGATGACTATTTACCTGCAGCAGCCTCATTTTTAAATGATGGCAGAGGAGGTAAGCCTCCAGTGGACATGTTAATATGTACAGCAATTGCATCTAGGGAGGGCATTGGCTCAGCCAGCAATCCGAAACGATTTATTTCAGCAGACAGAGCTGGCCTCGCAATAATTAAAGAATTGTACATTGAGGAACCCTTTTCCCAAACCATGCTCTCCAACAGTCTCTCTTCCAAGGAATTTAAATGCCTTCTAAGCTCTCTTGGAAGAGAATCCTCATGTCTGATAAAACTTTCAATTACCTTACTAAGATCAAAAGCTGTAATGCCAGTTTTCTCTAATACTGCTGGAAACAACATTGTCACTGTCTTATGAGTGGCCAAAACCAGTTCTGCAGAACATGAAAGCATGCATCTGTGAAACCTTTCATTGGTTAGCAAAGAGGTCAAATTATTTGCATGCAACAACTGAGCCTCTGCTGCGCACATTGTCTCCAAAACCCTGTAGTACAGTTTTAAACCTTCAAGCCGTCTTTGTTGTGCCCATATGTTGTCCGTCAAGTTAGAATTTGGTAGTTTCCCAGAAACACCTCTCTCCCCAAGAGCACTATTAGGAAAAATGGCCTCCATAATAATATGAGCTCTACGTACAACCTCATTACTTATGTTCCTATCACATGACATAAGGTACTTCTCCAGCCCAGGAGATGGCTTGGATGGAAGTGGAGAAATGTAAGTACGAAGCC